CAGCCCAATGCTGGAGCCTGTTGAATTATTTTTGGTTCCTGCCTCAGTTATCTCTTCTCACTTTCTATCATCTGCAGATTTGATAGGTAGGAACCATTTGTGTCTTTATGCAAATCATTGATAGAAATGTTAGCTAGCACAAGGGAGCTTGGTGGGGTAATGGATAGCATCCTGGACTTGGAATCAGGAAGGCCTCTCCTCAAATACTGCCTCAGACACTTCCTAGCTATGTGTGATCCTAGTCAAGTCATTTACCTTCTCCTGGATTCAATTTGTCCATAATGGAGGTAATAATAGCACCTACTTCTCCCCCGTGTTGTAAAAATCAAATGAGATAATACTGTATGCGTAACACTTAGCAGACTGTGAAGCACTTCTCTGTGAGTGCTAGCTGCTATTGTTATTACTATTACCTTAGCACAAGGCCAAATACAGATGTCCTGAGTGTACCCGATTTCCCAAGTATACCTCACTGCCAACTTGATATTGAACTCTCTTCTATTCTGGCTATTCATCCAATTCCAAAATCCATATGATTGCATTACTGTCTGTACCAGGGGTGGGGAACCTGTGGCCTCGAGGCTGCATGTGGGTGGCCCTGTAGGTCTTCAAGTGTGGCCCTTTGACTGAATCCAAACTTTACAGAACAATGCCCTTAATAAAAAGGATTTGTCCTGTAGAACTTGGACTCAGTCAAGAGGCCGCACCCAAGGACCTAGAAGGATTAGACTAGAAGGATAGACTCTATCCCATATCACTCCATGTTTTCCATAAAAATAATTATGACATACTTTATTAAATGATTTTCTAAAATGTAGGTGAACTGTAGCTAGAATATTCTTCTGGTCTGTTCGTTTAGTAAACTTGTCAAAAAAAGGAAATGAAGGGGCAGCTAGGTGGCACAGTGGATAAAGTACCGGCCCTGAAGTCAGGAGGACTGAGTTCAAATCTGGCCTCAGACCAAACACTTGACACTTACTAGCTGTGTGACCCTGGGCAAGTCACTTAACCCCAATTGCCAAAAAAAAAATACAAAAAAAAAAAAAAAAAGGAAATTAAGTTAGTCTGGCATGACTTACTAATGATGAAGCCAGACTGGCTTTTGTATCGATCACTTCCTTTCCTAGGTGTTCACTTAGCTCTTTAATGATTCATTCTAGAATTTTCCCAGAATTGAAGTTGAGCTCACTAGCCTGTAGTTTTCAGGCTCTATTTATTCTTTCCCCTTTTTTGAACAATTTCTTTGCTTACCAAATAAAGTATGGCATTTAAAACCCTCTAATTTACCCATCCAGCCATATTTCATACTACTTTCCTCCATGTATTTTATTCAACAGCTATTCTTCTCCAGTTGCTTACTATGTTTTTTTCCATCTTCTATCATCCGCACCCCTAGCATGGACTCCCTTCCCCCTTTCTCCATTCAGATCTCTGTCTTTATCCATCTCCTGTCATCCCCATCCCTAGGATGCACTCCCTTCCCGCTTTATCTATTCCTTTGTACAATGCCAAGCTTAGGCATCATCCATCTTCAACATGATTCCTCTATTAGCTTTTCCTGCTGTCTCCCCACCCTATCCTCCCCCAACTAAAAGTGTTCATAAGCCTAGAGCTGCAATGAAAATCAGAGATGATTTAGTCCAGCTCAGTCATTTTATAGTTGAAGAAACAGACCTGGAGAGGTTAAATTGAGTTGCTCAAGGGTGCCAGGCTAGTGAGTGGCAAGGCTGGCTTTTAACTCAAGTTTCCGAATTCAAGGTTCTTTCCTACTTTGTCACCGTTGATCTCAGATTTCTTGTAGCACTTTACCTGGTCTTGCCTTTTACATTTATTGAACCTGATCTCACACCTGTTTTATGGTTTAGCCTAGAAAACTTTGCACATGGAAGGTACTTAATACATGTTTCTTAAAATGAATGAAACTGAGTAACTCTTTGCTTTCTTAAGCAAAGCCTTTCAGTAGGAGTCCTGTTTGGTAAATTATGAAAGGAAAAGTTACTTAATGAATAACTCAAATTATCTCACCAGCTGTAGACTGTGAGACCTTTGACTCAGTCACTATTTGTTCTGTGGCAGTGTCAGAGACGTAGCCTCAGTGAATGACGCCCATTATTTAGACAACAGTATGGATGAACAGTCAGCGTAAGCTATAGGAAAACTTCCTGAGGCCACTCACGAAGCACACTCGGCTCTCTTCCAGTAAGAACAATCTACCGAAAAACCTAGAAATGTTCCTGCAAGAGGAGCGGAAAGGATAGATACTGGTATAGGGAACTCCCAGTGAGAAAACTCCCTCTCCCTGGCACATCCTTTGTAATTTTCTTGGAGCAGTGAGAGGTTAAGTGACTTGTCCAGTGTCATAGAACCAGTTATGTGTTAAGAGATGGGATTTGAACCCAGGTCTTTCTAGCTGTAAGCTTGGTTCTCTGTGACTCCAAGCTGCCTTTATAGAGGGAAAAGGACTTCATAAATTCGTAGAATTTTAAGTCTGGAAAGGATCAACTAGGCCAAACTCCCATTTTACAGATGGGGAGACTGAGACCTAGAATATCTAAATAACCTACCCAAGTTCATCCAGCTAGTTAGTGGCATAGCTGGAACTGGATTCCAGGTCTCCTGATGGTTCTAGCCCAAAGTTCCTTCCAACATACCACAGTGAAACTTACTCCATGTTATATTTCTCAGTAATGTTTTTTTTTTTTAAACTAAAGGGAGTTGTTGTTTTAATGAACATTTCTGTTCATTTTATGCCTGCCAATTTACAGTTTTCTCTAAATTTAACATCCCTTTCTAATGATCTGTTCCATTTCAGCTGAATAAATATTTACTTACTCTTAACTTATTTCATAAATGCAGTGGATAGAGTGTTTAGCCTGGAGTCGGGAAGACTTGAGTTCACATCCCATTAGCCTGGTCACCCTAGGCAAGTCACTTAACCTCTGTCGGCCTCAGTTTTCTCTACTGTAAAACAGGGATAATAATAGCACCCACCTGTCCCTGGTTATGGTGAGTATCAAATGAGATCACATTTGTAAAGCATTTAGCACAGTGCCAGAAACATAGTAGGTGCTTAGAAATGCTTATTCCCTTCCCTTCCTTCCTTCTAATGACACCCTCTTACCTTTAGGATCAAGTATGAACTCCTCTGTCTTTTAAAATCCTTCAGGATTTGGCCCCAACTTACCTTTCCAGCCTTATTGTATATCACTCCTCATTCTGCCTCTGCTGTGGAGACAGCCTAGCTTTCTTGCTTTGTCTCCCACACATGACACTTCTGCTTCCTTTAAACTTTTCTTTTCTTTTCTTTTCTTTTCCTTTTTTTTTTTTGGCTTTTTGGTGAGGCAATTGGGGTTAAGTGATTTGCCCTGGGTCACATAGCTAGTATGTTACTTTTCATCATGAAAGTTCCTTGCCCCCTCCCAGCATCTAGTGCCCTTCCCTGGCCCATTGCCTTGTATTTATTGTGTCACGAGTCTGTATTTCTTACAAATAAACATATTGTCTCCCCGATAGAATATAAACTTTTTTTTTTTTTGCTAAGCAATGGGGTTAAGTGACTTGCCCAGGGTCACACAGCTAGTAAGTCAAGTGTCTGAGGCCAGATTTGAACTCAGCTCCTTCTGATTCCAGATCCCTTGCTCTATCCTCTGTACCACCTAGCTGCCCCCGAATATAAGCTTTTTGAGGGCAGGGGCTATTTAATTTTTTTTGTTATCTCCAGCATTAGGCACAGAAGGCTACCTGTTGATGAAGTTGTTGGTTGTTTACAGTCTAAACTGTATTCACTGTAGTTATTTATTTATTATTATTATTATTTTTAACAATTTAAATAATGTTTTTCATCTTGGCTTCTGATAGTAAATTTGTGATGGTACCTGAAAAGTTAAGGTGAAATATTATTTTATGTTCCACAAAAATACTAGCCAGATTTATTATTTCTTTAAATTCTTTCTATAATTGAATGTTGTATACTAAAGCTGCTCTCCGAGCATTTCATCTTTGGAGGATTTCTCTTTCATGTTATACCTGTGGTATGTTCGCTCATGGAGTAAGTTCCCCTCTCATATTAAAACGTAGGCATTGCATCATGAATTACAGGGTACTCCTTCCTTTTAATCAGAGTTACTACTTTAATTGTGGTGACTCTCAGTAGTATCTCATAATAGCCCAGAAACCAGGTTGTAAAATATTTTGATCTTTATGTAAATGTTTAATGATTAGACAGGCCTCTTGACTTCCTGGCTTTAGAAGGGCCTGTCTTGCATTCATGTCCTGACTTAGGCTCTAAGGTTTTTGTGTTGGACAGATTTGTGTTTTGAACTCTCTTAGAATTCTTGTTTTCATAGTTGATGCTTACACCCCTTGTTTAATATGATAATAACTAGCATTTACGTAGCTCTTTAAGGTTTGCAAAATGCCTTAAATATATTATTGCATTTGATCCTCACAGTAACCCTGTGAGGTTAGAGCTTTTATTATTCCCATTTTACAGATAAGGAAACTGAGGCTGAGAGGTTAAGTTAGGGTTCACAGAGGTAGTAAGTATTCAGAGGCTGGATTTGACCTCAGGACTCCCTGATTCCAAAGTTCAATACTGTATCCATTGAGCCATCAGCTGTTTCATATATGTATGCATATATCTATATCTATATCTATATCTATATATCTATATATGTACATATGAAAATTGGCAGCATTCATACATTTTCCCTTCTACTTGACCCCTTAGATTTTAGTATTTCATTCTAAGTAAGTATTCACAAATTGATTCTGCACATATATTAAAAGGCAAGAAAAAACAAAGAAGTTGGAAAAATTTGGAGTGGTGGTAGAAATTATGCCCATGATTTTTAACTGATATATGCATGTATTTGTATGAATATGGTTGGTGGGTGGGTATGTAGTGTGAAAGGTAGCATCATTTTAACACTAATTGGCTTGTCATGTATATTTTAAAAAATTAGATTTCATGTAACTCTTACCTGTTTCATTTCTTGCAGCCCAGCCAAGCCCAAACATGTGGAGCTGAATTTCAAAGCCCCTAAGAATCTTGAGAGCTTGGGAAATGATCATAATCCATTTAACCAGCCAGTTCACAAAGGAAATACCGCCAACAAGATTTCCTTATTTGAAAATAAACGTACTAATAATAGCCCAAGACACACAGACAACCGGGCCGTGAAGAGCGTACCACCTTCAAAGACCTTTGTTGGTAGGGCAAAGCTCAATTTAGGGAAAAAATCCAAGGAAAGTGAGCAACCTGAAAAGAAAGGAAACATGCAAAGTAGTCACCCAAATGAGGGCTTGTTGAAAGACGCCTCCGCAGAAGAGAAGAATATTCCGTCAGAAGCACATATTTTGCCAGCGACTGCAAATAATGCGGAGACTGTTGATTGTCAACTGGGCCAAACTGAAAAAGCAGATGTTCAAAGAGACACCACCTGTCCTTCGGAACAAGCAGATGCTGCTCAGGTTCCAGCTAAGGACCTGGAAATCCTTGGAGAAAACAATTTGAAGACTGTCAACAGTACAGCACTTGTGTTAGAAAGCAAGATTGACCTTGATCAGGATAATAAAGATTCAGCTCAAACAGTCCCATTAAAGCCTCATGCAGATGTTCTTGACTCACATCCTATAGTGGAGATTTCTAATGGTCCTTCTATCCAGCAGCCACCATCTGTTTCCATGGCAGCTAGTGGAAATGCCTCTGTCCATTATGATGGGGATACATCCCCAGCTCATAACAGTCCTGGCACTGATGTGAAAGAACTGTCCCAGCCATCGTTGGCATCGGTAGGTCAAATTGAGTGTGACTTGCCAGTCTCGTGTGAAAAGGATAACAAAATGACCCCATCTGAACTTGGAAGAGAAGACAAAGTTGCTGTGTCTACAGAGCAGGATTTATTAAACACAGAAACCTGTAAAAATAAACTGCCTTCCACAGTCCTCGTTCAGGTTAGGTCTTATATGCTACCCGTGGAAACCGCTCAGGGTCGAGCCCCCCAAATCATTTTAGGTAGCTCAGAGGTTGAAGAAGTTCGACTGACAAGTTATTATAATAATGAAAATGAAGTAGATTCTTCTCACAGTTGCACTTCTGTAAAAGATGGGGTGCCAGAGTCTAAGACCACCTCCCCAAAAGTTGTGGAATGCAGAGGAGAACTCACAGAAAAATCTGGCCTGCACTCTGAGCCACTGGATTTAGAGAAGACTATGACAATCCAGGCACCAAATGATGACAGCAAAATAGTCCTGGGAACCAAGTCAAGTCCTGCCAGCTCCCACTGTAGCAAAGGCAATTTAGAACTTTTACCAAGACCAAGTCAAATCATTGAAGGTGTTGAGGGCAGTCCTGCTACTGTTCTGAATGTTTCTGCTGGGAGTGATGACAGTGCTTTTGATTCTTCTTCCGATATGGAAAAATTTACAGAAATCATCAAAAAGATGGACAGCTCAATTTGTGTGCCCCAGAAGAAAAAGAAGGGCAGGGTACCAAACTCTCCTGCTCCCCACTTTGCCATGCCCCCTATTCATGAAGACAATTTAGAAAAAGTGCTTGATCCCAATGTATTTACTTTTGGGTTGGGGAAAAAAAAAGAAAACCAAGACATGTCCCCTGGCTTACATCTCCTCCAAGGTCTAGATACAAAATCTAAATTGAGACCTAAGCGTACCTCCGCGGAACAGAGTATGCTCTTCAAGTCTGTGAGCACTCCTAGCAAAAATGAAGTCATGGAATGTTCAGAAACAAATGGAAAGGAGAATAGGGATGTCATAAATGGTGGAATTAAAAGATCTAGGCTAGAAAAGAGTGCTCTTTTCTCTAGCATGTTATCCTCTTCCACTGTACCCCCAGAGAAAGTCTTTTCGCCATCAGTGACATCAGTCAACACAATGACCACATCTTTTGGCACCTGTCAGAACAGTTCTCTCTTGCCAAAGTCAGCTGCATCAAAGACTGGTTCTGATGGGGTATCAGGCCTTCCCACTCAGCCCACTGTTTCAGAAAATGAGCTCCCCAAACCTCCATCTACCAACTCCTCAAAGATCTTTAACTTTGACTCATCAAGTCAATCACTTTCAGGTTTAAGAAGTCCAAACTATGTGGAAAAATACTTGCAAACAGGTGAAACCAAGAAAGATCCAGATGCACAAAGCAACCTGACATTACCAGAAACTAGACTTTCTGAATTTTCCATGCTTAAGAACAATAATGGTATTGAAAAACCTAATCCATTTGAAAGTGCTCTTAAACTACAGATGCCAAACTATGGAAGTAATAATGCGGATTTCATGAGCTATTTAAAACCTAGCCTATATGAACCCAGTATTTCTCTAGCTGGAATGTCACTGTCAGATACCCCGGTAAGCAAAAACTTTGACTTTCTTGGGGGAAATTGTCATTTGTTGTGTAAGACTATACTTTTGTTTGGGCTGTAGAGTAACAAATGAATTTATAATAACAATGATAGCTAACATTTACATAGTGCTTACTATGTGCCAGATACTGTGCCTAAGAACTTTACAGTTATCCCATTTAATTCTCACAACAATCCTGGGAGGTAGTTGCTATTATTATCCTCATTTTACAGTTAAGGAAACTGAGGCAAACTGAGATTAAGTGATTGCCTAGAGTCTCACACAGCTGCTAGGTGTCTGAGGTCAAATTTGCACTCAGGTCTTCCCGATTCTAGACCTGATGCTCTGTTTGTGATATTTTATCTAATAAGAGGAAGCTCAGAATAATAGATAGAGCACTAGCTGGCCTTGAAACCTGGAAGACCTGAATTCAGGTCCCTAATATATAGTCCAATATATTGTCATCTCTAATGTGTAGTCACCTAACTCTCGGTGGCATAGGTGACTTTCTATAGTCACTCTAAGACTGAGTTTCGGAGAAGGTACTGAGGTGAATTGATGGGAACTCACTTGGGAGTTCCCTATATTAATGAAAGTACAGGTCCAGTCCCTATTCCTGCTCATCAAGTGAGGGGGGAGGGTGGTGGAAAGTGATTATGTACTAGCTCTCTTGGAAGAATAGAGCAGCAGGATGCTATCTGTCTCCCCCACCCCCTCCCTCAGTGGTCTAGCCTTAGGATTCTGAAGAAGCCTAAAGGAAAATGCTTCAACCAGCTATGACCTGAACCCCCTGTTCTTTAATGTGAGCCTTGTTCCTTCATCCCACAAGAAATTGTAAGTGTGTGTTAATCCTGTCCTCTTGAGAGTGGATCATCTTTTTGTTGAGAATTAAGATTTCCTTCAGAGGAACAGAACGTCTCATTGAATAAGCACTGAGAAGGGTAGATTTACATTTATAATAGAGCTTTTCCTGCAGATTGTTACCATGATGACTTCCACACATGATTTTTTCTACTTCTTTTTTTTTTTTCTTGGAAGAGCAGTCATCACCCAAACAAAGATTACAGGAGAGTTTTATAGCATTTCCCTTTGTCTTTTCCTACTGCATGGAAGCTTTGGTCTTTGCAAACTAACCTTGGCTTTGCCTTAATTGAGGGACTTTGTAAGCAGAAAGATATCGAAGCTTGGTCTTCAAGTTAATGAGTGCAATGACAGAGAGAAAAAGAATAAAAACTTTACATGGTCAGCTCATGGGGATGTCTTCTTTGAAGGCACAAGGCTATTCCTGTGTAACTGGAATATCCAGTCAGTTAAGTCCATAATTTAATCACAGCTCACTCAAGTAAAACACATACCATGTGCAGAACACACTATATTACTCTGCCAGTTTTTATAATTTTTTTTTCAAAAAGAAAAAGAAACTGTTAGTCAATGTACCTTTAGTACCTTTATCTATTTCTTAAAATTTAGAGTTAAATCTTGAGTAATTGTTCAAACCATCAGCAACAGAAACACCCTATTCATCATTATTTGCCTTCCCGTGCAAATAGCTTTCAAGAATCATTAGGTTTTCAAATGTTTTCTCTGGACTCCAATCATTTGCATACATTCTACCCACATTTACCAGTGCTGTGGCTTCTCCTCTTAGTCATTCCCTGTTTTTTCCTGATATTCTCATTTTACTAGGCTCAGACAACATGAGCACCTGCTGATAGAAAGTCTAGTTTCTATTAAGTTTCTGGAAAATAAAGCTAGAAAAGAGCAGGAGAATTCATTCAGTGGTTTTTAGGTCTTTTCATTGTACATACTCCTTGATTTCCCTTCATTGTAGCATCACAGAGACTCAGGGGTAGGAGGGGCTTTAGGGGCCATATAGCCCAACTTGTACCTGAAAAAGAATTCCCATTACAAAAATCTTTAAGGGCAACATGAGGCCCCCTTCTCTGGTCAGCCTCTCTTGTTGATAAGCACTCACAGAATCATAAGATCAGAATCACAGAATTTTAGAGTAAGAAGGGTCCTCAGTGACCATCTAGACCATTTAGGAAGGGGCATCTGATCCAACCTATATATAAAAAGGAATCCCCACCATAACATCCCCCCAAATGGTCATCCAGTTTCTGCTTTGAACACCTCCAGGGAGGGAAAACCCATTGTATGTTTGGGCAGGTCTAATTGTTGGAAGTTTGTCCTGACATCTAATCTCAATATGTATTTCTGTAACTTCTCATTTTTCCTTGTTTCTTCCCACTGAGATCAAACATAGAAGATTAACCTCACTTTCACATAACCCTCTAAATGTTTTTTAAAAATGGCTCCCATATCATTGCCCTGTAACCTCCCGAGTCTCCTCTTGTAGGATAACTAGGCTAGTAAATGGCCATTATTCCATTTCATGTAAAGCTAAGTTTCAAGTGAGCATTGTTTGGCTCATGTCCAACATAAACTGAGGTTGTATCATGTGGAAGAAGTAGATTAGGCTTGTTCTGTTGCATTCTAGAGGGTCAATGGGTGGAAACTGCAGCAGCAGCTTTGGGCTTGGTGTCAGGAGAGATTCCTCAACAATTAGAGTTTTCCCAAATTGGAATGGGCTATGTTGGGGGGAGAGGAGGAAGTGGATTTATTTTTACCATTCTAGTTGTTTTAATTGGTTAGTTGTTTGTTTCTGGTTTTGGTTTTTGGTTACCACCAATCTTTTTACATCACCTTATCTTTACTCCTCATGCTTTAAAATTAGGCTTATCTTAATACTTCCAGTTCAGTTACTGCTGAGGCTTCCTTACCATCTTTCAACTTCAATCCACACCTCATGGTAATGCATGCCAGGCTGAGAGATCAGATCAAAGGTTTTTTTTCTTTTCTTTTTGTTTTTTGAGCAGGACTCCTGGTCACCATTGAAAGACGTACATGTTTTGCAACATTTTTACATGTATAATTAGTATTTTTATTATTATATGCATGACTAGTTTTACAGGAACTGTCAGAAGATTTTGAAAATGATTATTTCTGTATTCATTTAATCCATTTTAAAATATTTATTTAGTAAATATTTCCAGTGAGGGGGTGAAGGGGTAACTCATGTTATCTATTACCCATTTTACGGGTGAGGGAGATAGGGTCTTACCATAGGCAACATCAGTTTTGATCTGGGCTAACCAATATTTTATTACAGTTAGTAGTTGACTTATATGCTGCATATGTTAGATTTCATTTAGGAGAAAGAAAGTTATAATTCAGACTGATAGGATAGAAACCTTTAAAACAGCAGTCGGATAGAACTAACTCAGACAATGATAATAATTCACATTTATAGAGAGTTTTGGGGTTTGCAAAGAACCTTTCCCAGAATGATCCTGTGAACTAAAAACACACATAGTTATTATCTCCATTGTACAGAGGAAGAAATGGGGTCTCTAAGAGGTTAAGAGAATTATCCAGGGTCATACAACTAGTAAATATCCAAGAGAGGGTTTGAACCTGTTTCTTGGCTCCAATTTCCACACTTTTATTACTGTACTATGATGGCAATTCCCAATATACAAAGCATCCCAAAAGTCTTAGTGTATTGTTTAGCTATTAAAGCTTTTAAACTGCACCAAGACTTATGGGACGCCTTGTATTTTCAACATACATGAAATTTAATGTTGCTCTATTTTCAGTACAGTATCTCTTCATTTGGTTCTTATCTCATGAGGAGATTCAACTTCGTTCAACAAAAATAACCGCTTTTTGCAAACATACATCTAATCATTCAACAAATATTAATTGCCTACTTAATATAGTATATTAACCTATGCATTGGAGAAAATGCAGAAATAAACAGGACAGAAAGTAGAAGCCTGAATCTGGCACTTCATTTTCTTTTTTTTCTCTTTAATTTAAAAAAAAAAACTTTTGTTTTTATGTCAGTCTTTTCTGGATATAGTCTCTGGTCCAGCCTTAAACCTTCCCTGCTAACAATAAAAACAACAAAAATAGTTAAGACAAAATAGTTGATGCAGTAGCCTCTGGGTGTGATAATGTATGCAACCCTTTGACCAAAAGTTCCCTATCCCTCTGCTGAAATGAAATTAGATTTCATTAAGTGGTCTCCAGAATCAAGACTCATAATCCTTTTTGATGACCTTTTACCTTTGTAGTCATTGTGTATATTATTCTACTGATTTTGCTTATTTTATTCTCCATCAGTTCATCTAGGTCATCCCATATTTTTCTGAATTCCTCATACCTGTTATTTCTTCTTCCATTACATTCATATACCATGGTTTGTTAGCCATTTCTCCAATCAGTAGAGACTTTTCTAGTTCCCAGTTATTCATTACCAAAAAAATCTGGCATATAATTTTCTAGTGTGAATGAGAAAATATGTTTTACAGCATTGACAACTACCTGCAGCTAGTCAGATGGAAACATTTTTACCATCCCGTGGTGTGAACCTAAAAGCCAGAAACCATGGTATAGATGAAAGAGTTTATCTTTAAAAATCAGCCTAATTTGCACTCCTGTATAGAAAAAATAATGGGAAGAAAAAAGAATGTTATAAAAAATTCCGATCATTTGTCTTGTTTTTTTATTCACCTTATTCCAGATATTTAAAGCAAGTATGCAAAATAAAATCAATCCTCGACCTGGAAAGGTAAGATATCATTATCTATACCTTGACATGATTAATGGTCTGATATAGTTGAATGAAACCTGATACCATTGTGATTGTCTTAATAGGTGGTGATATATAGTGAACCCACTTTCTGTGGGAATTGCTTTGAAGTGTTCAGTGACATTCCTGATTGCACCTCTTGGAGCCTGTCACCAGTGATTGTTGTAAAAGTAGTTCGAGGATGGTAAGAAATGATATTTTAAACTCTTCATGACTGTTTTTATGGTCTTTTTTTTTTTTTTCCATTTGCCATATCTGTAAAACTCCAAGGTGGTTGAACCATAGGATTTCTAAGTCTCTTCCAACTAAGATACCTCATACTTTCACAAAATCCCCCTTGCTCTACTTATTCTTTCTGTGATGAGATTAATCATCATAAATGTCATGTCTTTAAAATATATATGTGGGGTAAAAATGGCTATTCAGTGAATATCTAAGATCATTTTGATCAACAAAATAGTATTTTATTCATACCCAGTTATATATCCCTACATTGTTTATGATTGCGCCATGCAGTTAAATTAGATTTGCCAGGAAAAAAAAAAATATGGTTTATCTGGGTTTGTTCTACGCCCAAACACCAAGCTGTTTGTTGTTCAGTTGTTTCAGTTGTGACTGACTCTTTGTGACCCCATTTGGGGTTTTCTTGCAAAGATACTGGAGTGGTTTGCCATTTTTTTCTCCAACTCATTTCACAGATGAGGAACTGAGGCACACAGGGTTAAGTGACTTGCCCAGGATCACATAGCTAGTAAAGGTCTGAGGCCTGATTTGAACTCAGGAAGAAGAGTCTTCATGACTCCAGGCCTGGCACTCTATCCACTATGCCACCTATCTGCCCTACCAAAGAGATTTGTTTAAAATCTTATTTTAGTTACTATCTTTTCCAAAAAAAGTTAGTTTTCATTTTTCAGATCTAATTTTTTTTAAATGAGACTTTAAAGCAACCTTGAGGGAGGAAAAACTTTGCCAGCCTACAAATGTTTTTCCAATCTACTCTCTTTGAGGAAATGTGCAAGTAATTGAATAAAGAAAAGGAATTTTTAAAAGCTCCAACTAATTGTCTGGTATAAATACTCATCCTTGGTTCCTGTTGGTGAGCCTGTTTGAAGCATGACTTCAGTTATTTTCTGATTTGCTTTTTTCCATTTGAAATGGCTAAAATATTTCATTTGGTATCTCTTTAATATATGCAGGTAGTGTCTATGTCTGTTATACTTCAGAAAAATTAATGTGTTTTTCAACATAGCAAATAGAGCTTCGTTTAAAAAAATAAGTTTAATTGATGCCTTTTGTTTTTAACTCATTCATTTTTACAAATATTCCCTTTTCTCCCCTTAAGATTAACCCACTGTCCCTGCTTCCTTGTAACAAAGAAAAAGAGAACAGAAGCTCTCAATAGAGTCACTGCTTTTGAAAATATATACAACATTCTGCCCCAAGGCTTTTCTGTCACAAGGAAGTATAAATATAGCAATCCCTTTTTTAAATGCAATTTTTGTATTTGTCAATGGAAATCTATCGTCTTTCCACCTCACCTGTCCCTTACCCTTCCCCTTTATTCAGAAAGAAAGAAAAACAGAAAACAAAGCCTTTGGAAAAAATACGTATAGTCAATCAAAACAAATTCCCTGATTGGACACGTCCAAAAAACCCCTCTCAATATGTCTCTGAGTCAATTCACTGTCAGCAGGTGGGTAGAATGTTTCATCAGGCCTTTGGGATTATGGTTGATAATTTCATTGATCTGAGTTCTAAAGGCTTTCAGAATTGATTGTCTTTACAATAATGTTGTTACTGTATAAATTGTTCTCCTGGTCCTGCTCATTTCACTTTGTATCAGTTCATACAAATCTTTCCAGGTTCCTCCAAAACCATCCCCTTCAGCATTTTTTACAGCACAATTCCATTGCATTCCTATACCATAATACCATTCCCCAATTGATGGGCAACCTTATAGTTTCCAATTCTTTGCTGTTACAAAAAGGGTTGTACATATGAGTCCTTTTTTTGGGGAGGGGGTGTCCTTTTTTATTTGATCTTTTGGGGAGTTTAGACCTATTAAGGCTATCAGTGGGTTTGTACAGTTTAATAACTTTTGGACATGATTCTAAATTGCTTTCCAGAAGGGTTAGATCTGATCACATCTCTGCCAACAGTCCATTAATATACCTGTTTGTCCCACGTTCCTTCCAGCATTTATCATTTTCCCTTTTTGTCAATTTTGCCCGTGTGATGGATGTGAATTGGAACCTCATTGTTTAAACATAGCTCTCTTAAGGAAAACCATCATTTTCCTTTGTCCCTGATTTAAGACAATAGAAACTTGTCTAATCACACAGGTAACTACAAGTTTGGAATAACTATGTTTTATATTAGGTTTTTGTTGTTTTTAACATAATTTACACACTTCATTTTCCCTTTTTAACTATTGATGTGTTTCCATGTGTTAGTATAGAAAACATCACCAACATTTCATTTAACAGTCACTTAGTGTTTCAGCTAGAAATTAATCAGATTTATTTTTCTTAGTGTTTATAAACTAAACGAGAATGTTTCTGAAAAGTGGAAATACCAGAGCCCAACACATAGTATATATGTTTGCATATACACAAAAGAAGAAAAAGAGCACATAAAAGCTAACTATTTGGCTCCCTGTTAATTGCCTATCTGTATTATCTGGCACATTTCCCCATTTGCAGTGAATTAGTAACTGTACAGTGTTCTCACAATAACCTTAGTCAATAAACCATTTATGAGGCAGCACTGTGTGCCAGCAACTGTCTTAGGTTCTGGACAGACAATAAATGAAAGTCTTTGCTCTTGAGGAACTAACATCCTTTAAGGGTGTCCTAATGCACCCCAAGTTCCTGAAACACATTCTGAATCACCAGAAATTAAGTTTTAGCTTCAGCTACATTTTGGTGTCATATATAGGAATGTATTTGTTCTTTTACGTCTTCACTCTTTCAGAGGAAATTTCCTCTATCAATTCAGATCAGCCGATGTTCTGTTATTTATACTCTTAGGGAGTTTTTGAGGACCCTCAGAGATTCAGTGACTTCTCCAGAGTCACACAATCAGGACATGAACCCAGGTCTTCCTGACTCCAAGGCCAGCCTTCTGTGCACTCTATTTATACTGCCTGCTCAATTGTAAATATTACACTGTTCTAACGATTCAAAAGATGCTATCGACGTATGCTATAATGCCAGTCTTCCATTTTCTAATATAATGCATTCCCTGAGGATAACAGAGTATTATGTCTTTCTTCTTTAGCTGGATTTTGTATGAGAAACCAAATTTTGAAGGGAACTCAGTTCCTCTTGAAGAGGGAGAATTGGAGCTATGTGATCCCTGGGGAGTAGAAGATATTTTGGCAGAAAGTGAGGAGAGCAAATCTGCTAAACCCTTGGTGATTGGTTCAATTAGACATGTGATTAAGGTAAGTTAGAGTAGAATCCAATTTTAAGGAAAATTTCCATGTTAACATCAGCAACTCATATTTACATAGTCCTTTAAGGTTTATATGGCAATTTGTGTTCAACAACCCTGTGAAGTAGGCATTACCAGAATTCTCTCCATTTTATAGATAAGGAGACTGAGGATCAGAGAGTTTAAGTGATTTGCCCAAGGTTACCCAACTAGTAAGTGTCAGGGCCTGAATTCAAAGCCGTATCTTTTTCACCTCCAATTCTAATATACTGTGTACCACTTCATATTATCTGCTATATGGCATAAACGTGAGTGATGAAATTTTGGATTATTCTTTTTTCTTTTTTTTGGAGGCAATTGGGATTAAGTGATTTGCTCAAGGTCACAGAGCTAGTAAGTGTCTGAAACCGGATTTGAACTCAAATCTTCCTGACTCCAGGGCAGGTGCTCTGTCTACTGTGCACCGAGCTGTCCCTGCTTTGCATTATTCTTGTGAAACTTATATGTAATTTTTTTTTATCAAACATTTGTACATTCTAATTTTTTGTTTAAGGAAAATGAAGGGAACATTTCCATTTCTATTCTAAGTGAATAGACTTTTTATTCCTAATTCTTAAAATTCTTACCAGTGGTCAATTTATTTTTTTATTCTCCAGAATATTTGTTTTTGCAATAATACTTTGTCTTTAACTGTTCCATGAAAACAGGATTTTGTTGACTTTTTTATTCATGAACTGCTTGAACTTTACCTATGTCTAGTACTAAGAATGTCAAGTATAAATGATCCACAAATCAAAATGCTAATTCAGATTTAAGATTCCTGTAAATTTAAATCTGAATTTTTGAGACCACTTTAGAGATTGAATGAAATTTCTTGATCTGTTGAGTAAAATTTCTTGCTCTTTCCTTAGAATTAACCTTAGAATTTATTATAGTTTTAATGTCTCATCAGTATATCAATGGAAGTCTGATCTTACCGGTATCAGTTCTAATAGTTTCTTTATTTTTCAACAAAGCAGTTAGTGTTGTCTTTAATTTGGAAAAATAAAAATTCCAAGTCTTGTTGACAGAGATGTTTTATGAGTGTCTTGAAGGGTACTTTGTAGGCAAAGGGCATGTGATTGCCAAAGAGTAAAGACATGGGTTTCTTGGTGAAAGGAAAGCCCCCTTAATGTGGGTTCTTTATGCTCCCCTTCCCATAATCCCAATAGAGTACAGCCCTGAAAAATCTGGCCTGCCTCCCTGAACTGTATGTGGTATGTTTGACATGTAAGTAAAACAATTGCTCAGGTCCCATTGATGCACAGATACTAACTGCAGCTTGAACACAGCATTTAAAAGGAGAGTGAAAGCAGCAAATGCTTGCTGGAAATCCCTGTATGTTTTTAAACCTTAGTTTAATTAGTTGCTATCATTTAAAAATGAATTTGTAGTACAATTAAGTAGATATCATAATTATGATTACATAAGAATATATATTTTTTTCAGGATTACAGAATTAGTCAAATTGACTTGTATACTGAACCAGAAGGGTTGGGACTTGTAAATTCTTACTTTGATGACACTGAAGAAATGCAGATGTATGGCGTGATGCAGAAAACGTGTTCTATTAAAGTGCATTGGGGCACGTAAGTATTTAATTTTAAGTGCATTGGTGATTAAAAGTGATTTTGTGTGTGTGTCTGTGTGTGTCTGTGTCTGTCTGTGTCTGTGTTTTGAAAGGAACTCCGGTGAAGTTGTAACAAAAATTCATAGCTCTGATTTGTGTTCCCTTTATTTTTAAAATGATTATTGATCAAAGTTGTCATTTGAGAAGGTAGGAAATTCTGGAAATTTGGCATATAGTATTCATAAAATATCATAGTTTATGTATTAGTTTCTTTTATTAATATAATATATTGGAGGAAAGAAAAACTCCATTTCTTATGTGCTTTCCTTTTTTATTAAAAAAACTTAATTACATTTTATTTTTTATGCTGAATTAAAACCAAAAAAGGAACATTTCTATATACTTAGTGGAATAGAACAAGAGAATTATATGTGAAATCACAAATTTCTATTACATAAATACTTGCTTTAAAAAATATGTATGTATGTGTGTGTATATATATTTACATATGAATATATAAAATTTAATGTTATTTTCAAAACCGGCTTGCTTACATGTTTTCCTTCTGAACTACCTTCTTCTGTTTGTATTTAAAAAATGCTTCAATAATTCTCTTTTCTTCTTTTTTGGTAACATTATTATTAACTTCATTATTATGAACTTCCTTCTTTCCTCTTCTCCAAATCCTACCTCCTGATAAAGACAGACAAAATCCTTGTAGCAAATAAGAATGAATAATCAAACAAAACAAATGCAGTTATCTGCCCCATCAGAAAATGTGTCTTTCATTCTGTACTTTGATTACATCATCTCTGTGTCATGGGAATAGTTATCATCAGACTTTTCCATAAAGAATAGAATGGTTGAAATCCGAGTATCAGAGACTAGTTTCTAGTGATGTGACTACACAGAGTTCACACAGTTGAAAACAAAGGCCCAGGCCCGCCTCCATACTGTCCCCTCACCCGAAAGAGACAGAATGTGATAGGGGCAAAGGAGAACTAGGCCAAGTACTGGGAGGAATTTGAGAAGGTAGAGTTCACTTTTACATCTGGATGTGAGTTAGGAAACATTTTGATCCCATAAATAAAAGTTCCTCATATCATACATTTCAGTCAATTAACAGATATTTATTACATGTCTCCTACGTAAAGTTCAAGAAGCATAGTGGTCAGTGAGCTAGCCTCAGAATGAAGGGCAGTTAGGTGGAGCAGTGGATAGAGTGCTGGGCCTGGAATCAGGAAGACTCATCTTCCTGAGCTCAAATCTGGCCACAGATGCTTCCTAGCTTTGTGACCCTGGACAAGTCATTTTACCCTGTTTGCCTCATTTTCCTCATCTGTAAAAAGAGCTGGAGAAGGAAATGGCAAGCCACTCCAATATCTTTGCCAAGAAAACCCCAAGTGGGATCATGAAGAGTCAGACACAACTAGAAAATGACTCAGCATCAACAACAATAGTAACTCAAACTAAGGAAGACCTGAGTTCAAATTCTGCCTCTGACATGTACTGGCTATGTGACCCTGAACATCAGGTGACCTCAGTTCCCCAAGCTTTCCTTTAAAATTGTAAGGTACAAAGCAGTTGGGGATTTACACTGAAACAGGGAGTTTTCCTCACCAGGAATTCTCTACACCAATGAAATCACAGGTCTGGAACCTCCCCCCGCCCCCCACAAAATGTGATTCACTGTAACAAAAACTGAATTTTCTTTATGAAGAGCAAATAAAACATGACCCTTACTTTTAAGGAGTTTATAACCTCATCAGTAATTAACTTTATATGAGACATCTAGGTGGTATCCTGTGTTACCTTGGGCAAGTCATTTAACTGTTGTCTGCCTCAGTTTCCTCAACTGTAAACTGGGGATAATAATAGCATCTACCTCCCAGGGTTGTTGTGAGAATCAAATGAGATAATATTTGTAAAGCACTTATCACAGTGCCTGACACATAGTAGGTGCTTTATAAATGCCATCTATTGTAGTAATAGCAGAAGCAGCAATAGTTGTAGCGGGTGTGATAAGATATCCACACAGATAAATACAGTACCAATAATAATTTAAGTAAATAGGAGTAACAGTGCTAGGAGATCAAAAAAGAGAGAGATCTCTTTCACCTGGGTGGATCAGAAAAGGCTTTATGGAGGAGGTAGGTATAGTACTATCATTTCAATCCTTAAAAGAAGGATAACGCACCAACTAGGGTTGATGTGGTATAGAACATTCTGTTTGACATTATAAGCTAAACTGAGGCTCCCCAAAGTACCCTGACATGCTGCTGTGCCTCTTGCTTAGTTCTGTTTCCCTCTTGACCCCCAAAGTATGCATAGAGCAGAGGCTGGTGTCACCAGCATATGAGGACCACACTCTCCAAATCTTTGTTCTTGACATAGAGTTTCCTCTGACACACATAGCTGCTTAATATTGCTCTAAGGCAATTTCTACTTCTTTCTAACTGTTCGTTGTATCTGTTTTGAAAAACTGAGAGAACCTTAGTCAGCACTTTGACCAGTTTAAGTTTTTCTGCTCTTACTGACTTAGATAAATACAGTTGGGACTAATCATTCTCATCCTTGTCATTCATTCATTCATTCATTCATTCATTCATTCCCTAGCTAATGGAACTCCCTTTACCAATGCAAGCTGTCATTTTGCTCTGCAAAAGTCTGAGGGAGTTGCTTTGAGCACTGAGAGGTGAAGTGTCTTATCCAGAGTCACATAGCCAATCTGAGTCAGGGGCAGGATTTGAATTTAGGTCTCTGATTTATACACAATTTGAGTTTAGGTCTTTGATTTATCCACAATGCCACATTCCCTTTCATAAGTACATGCCCTGATTGTACCAAATCCTCTCTGACTCTGGCAAATATTTAAGGAAAATCTAGATGCCTTTAAATTATTGACAGTTTAGTAGACCTGCTCATTTTGGTTTTTGATTTTTGAGTGGCCTTGCCTGATGAGAAGTCCCATTTGTTGTTGGAGATATTATGTTAGCTACCATTGAGAGATAATTTTTCCAAGGTTTGATTGCCCCAGACCAGTCTTTTAATAAAATAAAGTTATTAATAGTCTAGCTGGGTTGGCTGGGGGACGTTACAACTTACCTAACTTAATTTCCATTTCATTCACAATTGAATCTAGTTTGTTTTTTTTTTTTACTTTTATGCTAAGTCTGTGTCTTATCAACCTAGCTTACATTCTTCACCTGAGGTGGCAGCATGCTATCAAAAAGATCCCTTTTTATGTACAGGACCATTGGCTATAACAATTAGAAGGGAACTTTAAAATATATCTAGTCCAACCCCTATATTTTACAGTTAAGGAAACTGAGGCCCAGAGAGGTGGAGTCACTCGTGCAAGTATAGATCAATAGAGTAGGAAGGCCAGCTGGCTTGAATCCCATGTCAATTCTACTGTGCTCTCTATATTGCTCCTATAAAACTGTCCAGTAAGATGAGAGATAATCCATATAAATTTTAATTATTTTATCTTGTCAAAACTTCTTATAAAACTTATTTTAAAGAAAATTTTAATATGATGTTATGTCATTCTGTTGCCTCTGCACTGACTTATGTGAGGCATGAGTTATGATTGAATTGATTTTTAGCATGTATACCAGTAGGGATTTAACATCCTTTGCATCCCAGTAGGGTTTTGTGGCCTTTGGAATCACCATTGTTCCACATCTTTTTGGAAGCATTCTTCTTTTGGAATTGCCTCCTGGGCCTAGGACATATTTTCTTGAATAATCTCATTGGAAGCAAATCTTTATTATCTATGGGTGGGTTTAATATTTTTGAAAACAGCCAAAGGTCGTTTGGAGATAAAACTGGTGAATAAGATAACCTGGCCAAGCTAGGAAGTCCTATTTGCATTTAAAATTAAAAAGGAACCATAACTATAAAATAATGAAATTGTACTTCCTGTTCAGCTCAATAACTGATCCTTGGCCATTTGTCTTTACTCGCATGGAATCGCCATTTGGAATAAGTGAATAGACTCCTAAATTGGCAAAACTCATTTGGGTATTGAAGCTCTGACATATTATTGTTGCTACTGCCTCTATTTTAAAACTTATTAATTTATAGATATATTTTATACTATGAGATAGTCAAAAACAAATCTTCTGGGACAGAGATGGGGAATGAACCTATGATTTCTTTGGTATAGAGAACTCCCAGGTAAGAAAACCAATGCAGGTTGGCATTTGCCTGTAATTTATAGTCCTAGGGAGTTGCCTGGAACACTGAGATGTGAAAGTGATTTGCCCAGGGTCACACATGCTGTGTTTATCAGGGGCAAGCCTTGAACTCAGACCTTCTTCCTGATTCCTAGGACATTCTTCTCTCCACCATACAACACTGCCTCTCATAACCATACCCAAAAACAGTGCATCATGAGACTAATTAAAACAATACCGTAAGATACTTGTTTTTCCCATGCTTGGGTTGTAATTAGCAAATCGTGTCAGAACAGAATTCAAGAAAAGTGAATCATGCTTAAAACATCAGTTTTCAGATTCCAAATTCCACCCATGGTTGGACTTCTGTCTAAAAATGTCTTTTTGCATTAGCATCCAGCAAGCTTTAGTGAGAAAGTTCAAATGTACTGAGAAGGCACTTTGAAAAAAAAAATAAGTCTTTTCAGATACCAGATTAATTTTGGGTAATAGTTCCTAATAATTTTTGCTCCCCTTCCTCTGGTTTGTTTGTTGTTCCCCAGTGGGGAGCTTTCAGTGAGATACTCCCTCTATGAGTGCAGATGTACAAATGAGTGGCTGCTTTGCAATTTCTAGGAGAGCCTGGGGCATGGAGAGGTTGGGGCCTGCCCAGGGGCAGTTCCTTCTCCAGTTCCACTCTGTATCCACTACCTCACACTAACTGTTATTAGTTCTTAGCTTTTGCATGGAAACCATAAACCTCACCAGAAATTAAAAATATGAACTGTTGCCCTTGGAATTTGAGGTAGGAAGAAGAGAACTTTCTACGGGTAGAAATCTGAGAGTCATTCATTTGTAGGTTGTGCTGTCAGAGAAATTTGCCGTATCATTTCTGATGAATTTGTTAGAACCAGTTATACTAAACCAAATATGTCATTCTAGCAGTGATGGTGGGGTGCTTCTATTTCATTAAGACCTCTTATAGTTCAACAGCAATTTGGGGGGCACTAAAAGTATGGCTTTTGTGCTAATAACAAGATAATGTAGGTTGGGGTTACAATCTCAAATCTTGTCTGTCCTGAGACAGAGCTATGTTAACAACACTTAAGGGAACTTCAAGAGACCCCACCCTTGGATTATGTTTTCTTGTGGTTTGGGTATGTACTTTTAAAAATGATTTTGTTAAAATAGTCGTGCAGACAGGGGATTAGAGAAACAGTATTTCCAAGTGGGATGTCTTTAGATTTTCCACTTTTTCTCCCTCTTCCCTCCCCCCTCCCCACCCCCTTTCTTCCCATAGCTTCCAACATTTCTTCCCCCTCCTCCACCCCTACTCCCCCCCACCCCCTCTCTTCCTTTCCTTTTTTTACTGATAATGCTTTATTGGGATTCTGATTGCAAGTCCCTGAATTAAAAAGAAGTTACTGAGTCACCAAATTGTTTGTTGACAAAAGCAACCAGGAAAAAAAGAAAGCACCCTTGGGTCATGGCAGTGGAAAGGAAGCCTAGAAAGGGGGAGGACACAAACTGTTTTATGGCCGAAAGTATTTATTTTAAGATAATTTCCTGTTAGTGCAACCTGCCAGGAAAAAAAGTCAGAGAAGGTTTATCAGGTGAATTGATCATTCATCGCCTGTTGAACTCAGTTATCTAAATGATTGCCATAAAACCTTGCATTTTTTTTTTAGAAGTTATCAGGAAAGTTGGGTGAGCCCACAGTGGATCCTCCTAACTCTAAGTAGATATTACAAAGTGCACGCACGCGCACGTGCGCACACAATTATTAATCAAGGGCTCTTAAGAGGAGGTTTGAGATCTTAAAGTTTTTAAAACAGTATTTTGGTATAATTGATTTCCTTTGCAATCCTGTGCATTTTGTTTTGTGCATTAAAAAAAAAAACCAGTAGAATTTTGAGAAGAGTTCCACAGGTTTCACTTGACTGCCTAACCAGTCTATGACACACACAAAAAAGTTAATAAGCCTTGATCTCAATGATAATGGAAGTCCTGTAATGCCCCATTTCCATGGCAACCTCAGCTTTTTCAAAACATAGCTAGAACGCAGAAGCTAAGAACAAAAGGCATCTGACAATCAAAATAGGAGTCAGAGAATCCTCACACTGAGATGTGTGACCATGCCTCCAATCTGAGTATTTTTAGAGTAGGTGTTAATCTGCATTGATAGAGGAAGTTCTTCAGCAAAAGCTGCCTATGCTAGTGAAATCACAGGTCTGATTTAAATAATAATAGTAGTAAAATCTGAACTTCCTACATTGTTTGTCTTTCTTTCTACTTATTGATGGGCAGCTGTCTTAACTAAGCCGTGTTTTTCCAGGGAGACTGCATATTCAAATAACTATGGATTTTAATTTCTGTCATTTTTTGGGGTGCTTATTTAGATGGCTGGTTTATGAAGAACCTGGTTTTCAGGGTATTCCTTTTGTCCTTGAGCCTGGTGAATATCCTGATTTATCCTTCTGGGACACAGAAGAAGCGTACATTGGATCAATGAGGCCCCTGAAAATGGTAAACTGATAGTATCCCATGGGATAGGATTCCTTTGATAGATCTGATATTATTAACATGATGTGACTATAAAATAGCAGAAAGGGTTTTTATAAAGAGACATACTGGACAGAATTCATGTATGCAAATAAGCATTGACCTCCAAAGTGGTCACCTTGGATGGCTATATACATATTCCAATGATGTAACAAATTACTTAAAATCTTTTTGAAACTAATCTTTTGGAATTGCTTTCAAAGACAATTCAGCCCCAAACCTACCCTGTTACTTTCTATTACTCACTTTTAACCAAAAATGTTATGACACAGCCTGAGTCAATCGTATTATTCATCCAACTTGGCTCCCAATGACATTTGGCTCTTTCCAAGTCCATTCTCAAAGGCATTGTGGTTATTTGCAAGACAGTGGATGCTTCCAGTTCTGAATGCAGTTTCAAAGGGGGAGTTCTAAAAAATATTTAAGAGCAACTGCTGCATTATTGGAATAAACTTATAGCTGCCTCCCAAGGGGACTTCTTTGAAAGAGACAGTGTCTGGTTGAGTATATGAGCATGTTTTTAAAATCCAGTCATGTTGCTTAATAATCATACCTTGTATTTTGCATTTGGACACCAGCTGGCTGTACTCTTTTTTTTTTTTTTTGTTAAAGGGCCATCAGAGATGTACAAGTGTGTCCCAAAGGTCTTAGTTTTAAACTTTAGAAGCTTAAAACTGAACTAAGGTTGTTGGAACACCCTGTACTTTTAAGAATACCATAGGCTTTCTATTTGATTGAAATTTAGTACTTGGTTAACCTTTTTCGTGGAATCCTACAACACTGTAGCTGGAGTAAACTGTAGAGATTACCTTGTTTAGCTGCCTCAATTTATAGATTGAGCCAAGGTCAGATCCTCAGTCTCCTTGACTTCCAGACTGCTGTTCTTTGTCCTATCTGATACCGCTTTTAATGTTTTACTTGCTGGATTATTCTCCAGAATGTTTTAGCTGTCCTTTTATGAGTGTTTGTCTAGCAATATTTCTGTCATCTATTCAACCATTGTAAAAGGATCTAATCTCATACGGTGGTTGGTTTAAGGTACATTTTGCTGGGGGTGGGGGAGGGGATTGATTACCCTGGTTCATATGAACTTGGGGACAATTCTCAAAACTACATAGCTCTTGTCAAGGTCAGGACTCAAGCCCAAGTTTTTTTGATTCTTAAGTCCATTGATCTTTACATTTTGCCACACTCCTCCCAAAAAAATGGTGGATCTTTGTCTTTTTTTTTTTTCAGGGTGGTCGCAAAGTTGAATTCCCTGCAGATCCAAAGGTAAAAAAAAATGTATTCCATTGCCTCTTTTTTGGGGGAGTGGGGGGCAGGAATAGATCTGGGCCTGTGATGTTATCAACATGGGGAATTCCTGGAATGAAAACCACTTATCCTGATGCAGATTGGCCACTCATCTGTAATACGTTTTTAAAGAAAGAGTTACCTGGGGACACTGAGAGATTAAGTGACTTTTCTTGAGGTTGGTCACAAAAGTCAGACTTGAGCCCAGGTCAATAATAATAGCTAACATTTATATAGCGCTTACTATATGCTAGGCACTGTGTACTTTACACTATAATCTCATTTGATGCTAACAACAACCCTGTGATATAGGTGCAATTATTATCCCCGTTTTTGTAGTTCAGGAAACTGAGGCGGGAAGAGATTAAGTGACTTACCCAGAGTCATGCAGCTAATAAGTGTCTGAGACAAGATTTGAACTTGGGTCTTCCTGACTCCAGGCCTGATGTTTTACTATCTACTGTATCACCTAGTTACCTTTAAGAGACTTGCTGAAGGTTACATAGACAGAAGTGTCAAAGGTGAACATCCTGTCTCTGGGGCTGGCTCTTTATCTCCTATGTCACAACTGCCTCTCACAAAATACCATATTTGAGTTAATTTTTTTTATATAATACTTTATTTTTTCCCCAATTACATGTAAAAATAATTTCTAAACTTGAGTTAATTTCATAAACTTAATCAAGTATGACAAAAGGCATTAATTTGGTTGTGATAGTTATAAACACTTTTAAACTGGTTGTTTTAATACTGAGCTGTTTGGCCATATGTGTTCTTACAAATTGATGGCATGTTTCATTTCTACTATAGGTTATTATTTATGAAAAGCCTTTTTTTGAAGGAAAATGTATGGAACTAGAAACAGATATGAGTGATTTCATCATAGAAGGAGATGAAACGGAAGAAGCTGGTGAAGATAATTTGCTATTGAAATCAGTAGGGTCTATAAAAGTTCTAGGAGGCATGTAAGTGGAAAGAAATCATTAGTATCATTTTTTTCCCTAATAAATTAATACATGTGTTGTCCTTTGTGTGCAAAAGTGGTGCTAGAGACAGAGCAGCATAATGGTCATCCACTGCCAGCAGCACACATCTGAGAGATGGCTATTGGGCTGTCAGAGTGGGAATAGGGGTTGGAATAAGCCAGGGGTGGGGACACCAGTGGCCTTTTAGGTCCTTTAGTGTGGCCTTTTGACTGAATCCAAGATTTAAAATTTGAAATTTAAAAAGGCCACACTTAAGGACCTAGAAGGCCATGTGGCCTTAAGACCACAGGTTTCCCATCCCTGGAATAATCAAAGCAACAATCACTGCTCTATTACAAAATCAAGTTTATCTTCTTGGCTTAATCAGTACCATACTCCAACTAAATTATGAATGGACATAGTGAAGGAAGATTTTATTTTTTTTTTAGATTTGGATTTTTACAGATTGTTTTCCCTATTCAATGTTGAATTATATAATTGAACCTTCCATTGTTTATAAATATGATCTCAAATGGCTTGTTTTTATTGATCTTTTCAAGAACTCCATTATATAAAATTGTTTTTCCTTCTTGACTTGATATAAAGCTCTTTTCACTTAGTTCTTCTTGTTAAATGCATCCATCTCACTGGCTTACAGCTCCCTCAAGGAAATCTTGACACATGTTTCCTTGTTATTTATTATGCTGTTATTAAATCTTCTTTCATTTTAGAGCAGAAAGACCCGTAGCTGCAACTCATGAATCCGTCTTTGTCTTGCAATCTTTATTAGTTGTTGAAAATGAATAAAAATTTGGGAAAAAATTAAAATTATTTTTATGTTATTGAAAACGGAATAAAAATTTGAAAAAACTCTCTAAAATTTTGACTACTTATTGGTTTTTCTCTTGTAGTTGGGTTGCTTTTGAGAAACCAGGATTTACAGGACATCAATATTTGCTTGAAGAAGGTGAATACAAGGAATGGCAAGATTGGGGTGGCTATGATGGAGAACTGAAGTCTTTAAGGCCTATATTAGGTGTAAGTGTGAAGAAAAACTGATGGTCAATACTTGAATACTCTTATTAAATTATGAATATAAATCTTTTAACCTTGTGGTTTTTCATTTTTTAACAGGATTTTTCAAATGCTCACATGATAATGTATAGTGAAAGAAACTTTGGAACCAAAGGTTCGAATATTGATGTATTAGGAATTGTTGCAAATTTAAAGGATACTGGCTATGGAGTGAAGACACAGTCTATTAATGTATTAAATGGAGTGTAAGTAAAATATCTGCATTTTAAAAATTATTGTTTAAATGAAATGTTTTAGCATATTTAATTTTTTTTGCCTACTTCTTACTTGAAAATTTTGGCTCCATGATCTCCATAACATGACTGGAGTCCATCCATTCTCATTGCGAGTAATTTTTCAAAAATTTATTTTATTTCCATAAAATAGTGTAACGAAAAAGATGATTGCACATGAAACTGCAAATCTATTATGTACAACTTGCTATTCCTTTTAAATATACAACAGAGTTTGTCATGTAAATGTCTTTTTTTTTCTTTCTCCACCCTCCCCCTGACATTTGCCCTAGAGATGGCCACCATGAAACACAAATAGTGTATTATTCTATACATCTGTTTATCAGTTCTTTCTCTGGATGTCGATAGTGTCTTTCTTCTTACGTCTTTTATAGTTGATTGTGGGTGATTCTTATCTGTGTTTTTTTGTTTTGTTTTGTAAATTCCCCATAGAGCATCTACCCAAAATGCCAGAAGCCTCCCTCTGGTTCTTTTACTGTTTATCTCATAGGTACCAGAGTGGCATTTGGTTGCCTTCCTTTTGTCCCTCGCTCTGGAAACACAGACATTTCCTTGTCCTCATGTGTGTCCTCCATATTACTTCTTGCACATAAATCACTTGTAGTAGCCTGAAGTGCACTTGAGCTCACCAAGCATCTTTCCATTGCTCATGAGATAGTGGTATTCTAGGATTCAAATCCAAATAGCATCCCTTGGATAATGTTAATGTTTAAAAGATGGGTTTCAGTGGTAGAGAGCAACTTGGGATTGTTGAAAGACTGTTCTTTGCAGAATGTGATCCAGCATGATCTTATCCTGTTCCATTCTGTGCTATGTTCATTATTTATCTTCTACATATCTGATGGAGAAGTGAATATCTCCTTCATCTCTACATGGTTGTTGTCTTTAGTCTCTCTCATACTTAAAAAAATTTTTTTAAATTTTTTTTTTTGTTTTTAGGCAATTGGGGTTAAGTGACTTGCCCAGGGTCACACAGCTAGTAAGTGTCAAGTATTTGGTCTGAGGCCGGATATGAACTCGGGTCCTCCTGACTTCAGGGCCAGTGCTCTATCCACTGTGCCACCTAGCTGCCCCCTCTCTCATACTTTCTTAAAAAATAAAACTGTGATTTCATTGCATGGATCAGCCATAACATATTACAGGTGACATGTTTAGACTGTGGACTGTATTTAACTCAGAAAAAGCCTCTGCTTTCATGTGATGCCCCTCACTTAATAACCATATTCTGCTTTTAGGAAGCTAAGATTCAGATTAAAAGTCCTAATGAATTTTTCCTGTATTTTGTTTTTCTTGGTTTCTTTCTTCACTGTGATTTTTACATGGGCATGATTTTTTTTTAAGTTATGGAACTTGGAGTTAATAATTGAATACTTTATGTCTAGAAAACATTTTAATGCATTTTATTTCAATATGTCACTTCCAAGCAAATATTGGCCTCCCCACCCCCCAACCCAAATAGTGCCTTTCATATAAATCAGATTAAAACCAAATAATAGAGCAATTGTGATTGATGGCACAAACATTTTTTATTTTTTGGTGGTTTACCTTTTGTTAAGAGAAAGAAAGGTTGTGAGTAAAGCAAATTTTACATGATTTAATAATAATTAATTACCCTTTGGGTCAAATGCTTCCTCCACCACTGCCCTGCTTCACTAAGGTAGAAGTCCATTATATCTTTACTATTCTTCACATTCTTATCACTCTTGTGTAAGTATTATCTTGGTGGGATGAAGCTGAGAACTTGTACGTCTTTCTCTGAGTAGGAAATACCTTTTTATTGTTTCTTACTCTGGAGTTTTAGAATCTTAATCAACTTTACATTCAGGAAACAGTGCAGGCTATCCTAAAAGTCTTAGTGCAGTTTAAAGCTGTGATAGTTCGACTTTTCTTAATGCAGATCATTTGAATGGTAAATTCTCTTAGATTTATTTCTGATGAAACTGTTGTGTATGAGGTGTTAAGGAATGGATTCAGGTAAATGGGAACCAGTGACCAGATCACCCTCATTCATCCTGTGAGAGGAAGCACATAAATGCTCAGTTGAGTTCCTTCAAGGCTATTCATTAGCACTTGTAGGTAAAATAAAAGTGGAACCTTTGTACCCATCACCTGAGCCATCTTTTGCCTCCTCCCCTCAGCCCTCACAATGGCATGTTACTATATTTTTCTGTGTTTAACGAAACATAAAACATCAAAGGATTCCACTCAGTCTTGTTTCTGAAGCCTTGGTCTGGAGTGAAATGATTTATTTTATTTCAGCTCAATTCTTGCTAAAATGTTTATACCCTTTACTTTGGGAAGGGCTCTTACATTTACAAGGGGGCAGGTATGTACAGGCATGTCCTGGTGGCTGACTTATTCATGTTCTTTACATGCAAAGGGAGACTTGGGAACATCTCCCCTCACTGCCAGTGCTTTAGAGCACCCAACTCAAATGACATGTCTTCCATAAAGTCTTCTCTGATGTGTCAGTAAAAGCCTTCCCCCAATAACTGCACTTAGCACGTGTTTTGTACCTCTCTAATGCAATTATCATGTAGCATTTTGCATTATAGTTATCAGTGTTTTCTATTGTAATACCCCTTAGTAGACTGCAAGTTCTACATGAGTCATTAGTGAGATATGATTGCCAAAGAGCCTCATGTGATCTTGGGCTTCATTAAGAGAGGCATAGTCTCTAGGACTCTCTACTCTGCAATCTCCAGAACACATCTGCCGCTCCATTCTGGGCACTGCTTTATGAGAAGAATTTTGTTATTTGGAGAATGTGCTAGGAAAGATAACCCAAATAGTGAAGGTCTTTGAGTTCATGCCAGATGAGAGCTGATTCAAGGAACTGGGGTAGTTTAGCCTGGAGAAGAGAAGGCTAGGACATGACAACTGTCTTCAAGTATTTGACATGGAATAGGATGGAATTTGAGCAAGGGGTTGAAGTTAAACAGAGGTACATTTAGACTTGATGTAAGGACAAAATTTCTTAACAATTAGAGGTATTCAGAAGTGGAATGGACTAGCTTGTGAGGTTAGTTGGTTCTCCCTACTTGAAGATTTTTAAGCATTAGGCCTGAATACCCACATTTGTTGTTGTTGACATTTTTGTTCAGATTGCCCTATGGTCCTTTCCAATTCTGAGATTCAGTGATGCCATCTTATTCCAACTTGGTGTCTTTTACATTGATAGAGTGAATTTCCTCTCCTAGAAGTTCACAATACCAATGAAATCACAACTCTAGTCCCTATCTCTAAGTGTCTCCTGCTTAGATTCACATAAATATGTATTGAATAAATAAGTAAAAGAACCCTAAATTGTAACTCTGAATATGCAACTTTTGGAGCACATCCTGTCTGTAAGCTGAAGACCATTATGTCTAGTAGATTTGTTTTTCATTTTTCTAAAAGGGGATTAGAGCCAAGCTCTTTGTTTTTTCCTTGCATTATTTTTGTTAGTGGGAAAAGTTTTTTAATTTGGATCTTTATTTCCCACTGAAGACTTCAACAGAAAGTGCCCACGCTGAGGAAATCACATATCATAGATGTTTTAAGAAGTAGACCTCCAGTAACCAGGTAGCCTTTTTGGAAATTCCTGTTTTGTTGGAGTAGCTCCTGGGATGACTCAGTATGTTTTATCATCCTTGGTGACTCATTTATTTGCTCTAGAACAGAATATAATATTTAAGTAAGGTGCTTTTGAATCTGACCAGTGAATTTATAGGAAAATGAGGTTAGTTTTTACAAAAAAATTCATGGCAATTCGAAAATAGTCTTCTCACACTACTAATTAGAATTCGAGTGCTATAGTAATTAATATTCTCAAGTAATTTGAAACATTATTTCTACTCTGAGTGAAAACTTTCCTCCCTTTGAAATTTTTCTCCCAGCAAAATTAAGCATTTTTTTAGAGTCTGGAGACCAGTGAAATTCAAGTATGCTACTTTCATTTTTTTCTTGGTCCATTACAGAAAAACTGACATGCATTACTGCAATAGTATCTGAATTTTTGTTAGCTACACATTCTACAGAGCAGTTTTGTTATCTGCTTGGGGCTTGTCAACACTTGTGGTTTTTCCTTTCTTTAATGCTGTAAACAAGGAGTGTTCAGGTACAGACTCGAAATGCTCAATGTTCCATCCACTCAAGGGAGAAGCAGTGAGGAATTTTCTTTGCAAAAAAACAAAACAAAACAAAACTGGGTCTAGATTTGGTATAATGTGACTTTAGCACATATGTATTATCTATCTATATTATCTCTCTATGTGTCTATTACATATCACATAATGTATCTGGTCGATTTTAGAGACTGATTATGGGAAAAGTGAGGATACCTTCACTTGATGCAACTGCCCCATGGAGGAAATGATACTAAATGATACTGGTAGCACTATGTGTAACTTCCTAGCGGATCAAGAATCCAGGTTAATTTATTTTGGTGTTAGGTATTTCTTTTAAATGCTAATAAGTAATTCACTTATTTTATTCCCCCATACTCTCTCTCCTTGTTCCTCCCCCCCCAAAAAAATTCACTCAAATATTATAGACGAAGCTGTGGCATATCACATAGCTACAAATGAAAGATTCATTTTATTTTATTGCCAAACAAGTCACTTTGGGAATCTGAAAATGTTATTGGAGTAGAACTCCAATATGATGCTCTGCCAGCATCTATACAATGTAAAGAGAACATGAGGGAGGCTTTCAATGTGTTGGGGAGACCCCCACCCCCTCCAGTGGACAACTTATGGTGAGACTTGGACAGAAGTTTCATAGTTGAGCAGGCCTGCCTGGGTTGGGATTTCAGTTGCTGTAGGAAATACATCGATGAGATCCCACACCCATTGGGGAGTTCCTTGCCAAAAGTAAATATCTTGTAGGGGATATTGAAACAAACAACCCAGTATTAGAGATTTAATTTGACTCAACAAATAGTTGTAGTCTGTAGATATTGTGGTTCTGAG